ATAAAAGAATACGATCTTATTGAAGCTCTTAATATAATTCTAATGGGGAGAATACAAGCTAAGAAAAACTAAAAGGAAATACAAAAGAAAGCTTCATTTACTGTTGCCTGTAATGTAGATACTTTATACTGGATGACTTTGGCTTCACACCAAACAGGAAAATAAGAATAGTCAAAGGTTAAAGTGAGATTTGGCAGGTGTGGGATCCTTAAGAATGGTTGTATAGTACTAGTGTTGTATGAAAGAAATCACTTAGAAATGGGCCACAATAATTTGTATTGTGTGCTTTAATAGATTTTTTTGTGTGTGTACAGGCTGTGATAGGTGAGCTGTACTCCTGCGCTTTGTGTAAAGAAATTCAGCAAGATATAGGCAGATGCTACACGAGCTATTGTGGCTAATTAATCACTGCTAGACGATATAAAGCTAGTATAAAGGTGGAATTCATTGAGTTTATCTAATTATCATCTTAAATTCAAATTGGTGTCTGTAACCGTTGAAACCAAACACTGATCATGATCACACCACAGCTTCTCTACACCAGTCTAAAATAGTCTCTAAACTTCAGCACAGTACTGAAAGGTGACCAGTGTAGCCTGTGTTGTATTTTCATCCAGCTGTAAAATATTCACTTTTCAAACACTTTTCAGACTTCAATTTGTTTTTCAGGATGTTTTACAATATGAAAAAAACGTCTACAACACATCACGTACTGATCCATTACTGTATATGATAAAAAGTAAACTATAAAATGAAATCAGAAATTTTATGCATGCTTTAAACTTCCAGTCTATAAAATGTGACTGAGCAGTCTTTACCTTTAAAAACAAACGATTTTCCTCTTTCTCCATCGCTGAATGAATTTATGTCTCATTCTCTTCTCTCCCTGTGAAATACAACAGCTATGGCTTTAGCTAGCATACACAAACTGCACATAACCCGTTTGTTTGTTTGCTGATATTTGTTGAGCTGTTTGAAAAAGCTTCGTTTATTCCGGATTATTCCGGCCCATTTCAACTCCATCAGCTCCATAGTGCAATAAATAATGTATAAATTAGGTATTCTGTGTCTCTTTCATCTCTGTGTCTTTTATGTCAGTCATGCGTAATAAGCCCTGATAATGGATACACCAATAGGATTGTCTTTTATGTATTATTGTTCCCTCCATTTAGGTTCAATCGATTTGATGTTTTTAAAGTGCACAATAGTCCGGAAAAATGACTTCCATCAAATGTGTTGAATGTAAAGTAACAAGCTTGTTGTAAAAATGTAAAGAGTAGAAAGTACAGATATTTGTCTGAAAATATAGGAAGTAAAACTGAAAAGTTAATATAAATATTCAAGTAAAGTTCAGATACCTGGAGATTCTAACCTAATATTTGTACTTTATTACTCAACACATCTGGTTTTAAGCAAACAAGATGAAGTACACATTTTAGAGCATATGCAAATGCGTTCACTTGATGAGGTAAAGTTATTGGATGTCCCTAACTTTGAATATTTTACTGCTGGTATGTTGTAGCTGTGGAGGTTTTTGATTTTTCAGTGGTGAAACTATTGTGCCAGTTTGGAGTGATATTGAGCTTCCTTCATGATTCTGTTCTTTGGATGCTTGCTGGGTGGGTAGGTGTGAACAGCTATCCAAGTTTTCCCTCTCGTCTCTTTGTCTCAGTGTCTCTCGGTCTCCCTTTCTGTCTTTGATGTGTCAGTTGAGTAAGGCCGGAGTAGGGCAGGCAGCCATATCCATCAGCTCCATCCATCAAGCAGTGGGACGGGTGGCAGAGAGAGGATGACGGGCAGCAGAGAAGGGGCAGATGTTTTGCAGGAACTGATATGCTCTCACATCCATGAGGGATGTCATTACGCGGCCGACAGAGAAACATGTAGCTGATTAGTGCCTTATTAAGTCAAGGACACTGGCTCGCAGTAACATACACCGGTGCCATTTTGGCTTGTGGTGCTGATGGCTTGCCAGTCACTGACAACATGAGTGCCTCAGACAGATAACCTCTCTTTCTAATTAACTGCTTCTCTGTTCTTCAACTCCAAGTTCCTTTTTTGTCTATCAAGCAGCTCTGGAATAAAGCTTGCCATTTCAAGTATTATTTCCTTTTTCTTGCTCAAATGGAAGAACCCAGAGGTGCACGAGGCTTGTGGATTTCTCTCTGAGAACCACACTGTGTTGTGGTAAGTAAATAAAGCAACGTCTCCCTGAGGGCGTGTAAGGATTGTAGGAACTGAGAAAAGTGGACAGTGCAGCTTTAGCCCTGATCCAGCACAGTGGCTAAAATGATAATGTTGAGAATCTCATCTGTGTCTTGTGTTTTCTCCTTTAGTCGGATCTTTCGAGTTGTCCTCTGTTTCCTCTCGACAATAAATCCTGCCATGTGTTGTTAGAAATATGTATTTACTTCAAATCACATTGGCTTTGTTCAGCACTCTCCTTTGTTCTCTTTTCTTCTCCTGCCTCTAAGTTTTTATCAGCTGTATGTTTAATACACTATAGCTTGCCATATCATAAACTGCAGCGATGTGCGTCTGCATTTCATGTGTTTTGAGTGGTTAGAGCAATAAATGGGCTCAGGGTTATGAGAACAGTGAAAAATACAGGCAATGGTGGACTGGTTAATGGGCCTCAGGATGGCTTTACTGAAATGTAATACTGTTTCACCAACAGCACACTTTTATTTGGGAAAGAGAGATAATATTTCTTTGGACAGTGCTGATTAAATGTGTTGTGCAAGTGAAAAAATGAGTGCTACTGAAGAGACTAGCCACGGATATTAATCTAATTTTAGGAAACATGATTATTGAATCTGGACTTGTTTTGCCCATTTTTTTTTTCAATCATCCCCAAGGTACTGCAACATCAAGACCAACAACACAAGGAACTAAAGATGTCAGAGGATAATAGATGCTCCAACCTGACTAAAAAATGACAAATGACTAAAAAAATGACTAAAAAGAGAAAATGTGTCTTTTTTCTTGTGCGCTTGCAGTGAAATCTGCTGATTTTGGTCTGTGTGAAGGGAGGAGGACGGCGATTGAGGGGTCTATAACTTTCGGGGAATGGACATTACTTTTATTCTGTTGAATGCACGAAAAGACAGGTGATGCAAACTTCACCCATCACAGAAACAGCTACATTATTTTATTTTACCGTCAGGCTCAGTTACTGCTGATGAGTTCATAGTCTCAGACATTCATCTGAAGTTAGAGTCAAAAAGATGGATAATTCAGAGTATGGCTCAACATGACAAGCCTCCAGTCTGTGAATGTAAAGTTGGTGCTGTGGTGTCTTAGGTTTTAGTTGCACAGGCTTAGCACCATCTGAAACCACAGGTCATGAGCGAAAAAACTTCCCAAACTGGATACAAATGGTTGCTGGTAGTCACTGTGAAACCAATTGCTAATGTCCCATTTATGCAGGCCTAGACTTGTCAGTGACCCCCGGTAACCACTGGTTGATAGGAAATTAAATCTGCAGCCAGTTGGAGAGTGGTTGCTGGAGATTGCTGGCAGTCACTGGCGTAAAACTGGTTACAATAAAGGTACAGCATCAACAACCTCTGCAATCACTTTGGCCACCTGTAGTTTGCATACAGCACACACATCTTTTCAGCAGAAGGGCACAGCTTCCACTTTTAATTTCTGATTTTCACCCTGTAGTTTCACTACAGCTCAGAGAGTCAAAGGGAACGTATTTGCCATGGTGCACAAAGTTTTTGATGTAGCATGCTCTTTGCCTCTAATTTCACCTGGCAACTGCCACTAACCTCCAGCAATGTCATATGGTTGGGGAATCTGCATATTTCCCCTTTAACTGGAGGTTGGCAGCAGATAGATGTTGAGTATGGTTTTGCTGGAAGTTTCTTCCTCTTGAAAATGAGTTTTTTTCACACTGTTGCCAAGTGCTTGCTCATAGGGAGTCGTCTGATTCTTGGGGTTTTCTCTGTATTATTGTACGGTCTTTTTCTTAAGGTGACTGTTGTTGTGATTTGGTGCTAAATAAATAAAATTGAAGCGACTCCACATATCTTACTTGCAGTCTATGGTTAGCTGAGGATCATAGCCTGCAAACCACTTCTGAATATTTATACTGTAGATCAGTGAAAGGCAAAAACATTGGTATACTTTTTTTTAGTGCATTATTTGACAGTTGGGTAATCACAGTTTTCCAATGTGCACACTGACACTTTAACTTCCAAATAGAGTGGCTAAGGTGATCTATTTAAACTGCTTGTTTCATTTTAAACTTTGCTGAACAAAGAAACCATTCCTGAGAGAAATGATGGCAAAAACTGCAAGTTGAAAAAGTCCACCCAAACGTGTCATTTGCATTATAAATAACGAGCCATTATAAAGGGAGCTGTGCCTTATAGTGTTTTCCCTTCTCTTCACTTCCTACTTGCTGCTCTCAGTTATCTCTGCCTTTGGCTGGCTGTGGGAGCTGACTTGCTCTTGATTTTTCCACCATCTCTCAGCAACGTGTCAGGTCCAGTTTAGCACTTGAGGGCAGAACGTGTCAGAATCACAGCCCCCTCTCTCTCCAGGCTGTCTCGAACCCAAGGTGAGTCAGGCTTTGTCACCACTCCTATAAAGACATAACCCATCACATGGCGCTGGTAGATGGCCAGTAGTTAATAGCCCTGTTGTGATTCGCCAGGGAAAATACTCATCTGCTGAAGAGAGCAATCACTTAGAGCAAGGTTGGGGTTTTATGGGTTTAGAAGGGAGGTGGATGCTCAAATGTAAATCTGCAGAATCACAGCATGTCTGAGCTTTGGCACACACTAGGCGAATAAAATCCTAAATCGAAAGACAGCTTGTGGTGGAGATATGAGTTGAAATACAAGCACAGTTGAGGCTGCGAGCGCAAGGCACGAACATTTTGTGGAATGGCGAAACTTCAAGTTGAGAATCCACGGATCTGCACCGGTGACTTAGAGACAAATTCCTGCACAAGTCACTGACTTTGTGTTTGTGTGTCCTCTCTCTAGAAAGAGTTCCTGGCAGCTACAACTGAAAAGGACATCTTTGCCCATCTGGGTCTCGAGTACATCGAGCCTTGGCAGAGAAATGCGTAGGCCTCCGCTCCTCCTTGGCTGGATGATACCCTGTGCATACATCAGTGTTTATCCCATCTGCTTGCCGTTATGTGGCTCTCCTGTGATTCACTTTCAAACAGCTTTTGATTTCCATACACTTTTGTGTTGTTGTTGTTGCCAATATTGTTGTTGTCTAGATTACATGACGACGTGTGATTCATAATTCTGCTTATTCACTATTGTCTGCCAGCAAATAAACATTCTCCCGTACCATTCACAGGCTCCTGTCTCTAAGTGTTGTAATCATAGGCAGGATAAAAAGACTAATCAGTCAGTATGAATCGCCTGGGGTGCCTGTGAGGTGCAGGAGAAAGGGAGCCTGAAAGAAACAAGGCAGTAAAGGGGGTGACCACTGAGAAAAAGGGAGGGAGAGGAAGAAGACAGGAAACGATGAGAAAAGTGAGGGGGAAGGGAGCTCTTTGTCGAGCAAAATGTTGTAATCACCCTCCTCCTGGCAGGAAAGTGCTCAGTGTGAAGCTGAGCCAGGTCTTTGGGGGATTGAGAGGCGGGTAATGAGCTTCAGATAGAGGAGCGTTCCGCGTCGCCATTTAGCCTCCATTTAAGCCTACGTCCACTGGAGATCATTTAGCTGGCATTCCCCTATCCAAAGACCAGTCGTCTCCTTTCTTTGTTCCCCGATGAATCCACTTCCCCAGATGCTTGGCTGAAATTAGAGGCAATCAGCTATAGTGGGAAATCAGGAAGAATTCAGAAGGAAGGTAAACGAGCTTGCTGAACACACAAATGGAGTTTGGCTGCCAAAGCGATTCTGTCTCCCCAGCATCCATTATCTTATTGCTTTGACTTTGCTTATGTTTTATGTATGGCGGTTGTTTATCAGGATTTGTGTCCTTTTTTCAGGACGGTGATCCTCTAATGAAGAACCTTTATTGATCCCCGCGGGCTGTTTGGGTACGTCTGATTTGCTCCTTTAGTGATGACATGACCTGCCCTGCTGTTCATCCCCCAACCCACTTTCCTCTTGATGCTCAGCCTCCGGTTTATCCCAGGATGCTGCAACAAGAGCAGAGACAGATGAGAGCAAAGCATTCTAGTGAATCACCCTATTTAAAGATTTTTAAGTAGAACAGTCCGGCGCTTTGAGGACTTGACCCAGGCCTCCCCTTCTCCCACCTCTTTCTACTTTCTCCCTCTTGGCCTCTGTCTTTCTCTCCCGCTGAGCTGCTCTTTCAACCTTGCTGACACAAAACAAACTCTAAAGCTTCTGAGCTGCAGCGTTAACCAGATGGAACAGGCTCCCTGATCTCCAGGGTTATCTAATGTTTTCACTTTTAAAACGAAGGCGGATCCCCTCTACCCCAAGCCCCCAAAGAAATCGTCTCTAAATTTCTCTAGAGTAAAATAAAAACCAAGCTGACCTCAATAAATGTACATTTGTTCAGCTCTCTTTTTCCTAATTGTTGTTCAAGTGCAAATTGGATCTTCTGCTACTTTCACATTAAAAATTCACAAGTGTAAAGGGATTAAAAGGCTATAGTTCTCAATTTAACAACAACAACATTGTTGTTGTGCTCTCAGAAGACCTTAAACTGTTTGCAAAGCTGAAAAGCAAAGATTTGAGTACAGCGGGGTAATGCTGCGTGCTCCTATAAGAGTTAATTTCCTGTGGAGCAATACAAGGTCTGATCAAAAGTTTATTAAAAAAATCAAAACCCATACCTGATTTAAATTTAAAAATCAGTTTTTCATTTCTTTGCACACATATGGACGACTTCCAGTGCTTCTGTTATATTTGAAGTGCTCCCTGGAATCACTTGTATGAGTTCACCTGCAACTTTGCAATGGTCCTAATCAAACAGCAGTTGCACAGTAAATGAAAGAGTCAGCAGTCATGTGATAAGAGCAGCATGAGCTAGTTGTTTTTTTTTGACATGAACATTGATTTTGCACAGCAAATTTGTCCCCAGAAATGAGGCTACCTATTTTCTACCTGGAGCAAAGCAGTTCACATATGGCCCGCATTGTGGAGAGCATCGTGTGTACCCTCTTACATTACTTTGACCTATCAAACATAAACAGTTTACCACCCAACCAGAAAGCATGCTTTGGTCCTCTGCGTCTTCTCTTCCTCCAAAATAAATAATCATGTCAACAACTTCCAGTTTCACACCTTCCACTGGGTAAAAAGTAGAAGCTGCTTTGGAAGATGTATGAGGAGACTACTTTGAAAACTAGCTCAACTAAACAGTTTTTGTTTAGTCTGGTTCTGCAGGAAGTTTCTTCCTGTTCAAAGGAGGTTTTTCCTTCCCACTGTTACCAAGTGGTTGCTCAGAGGGGGTCAATTGATTGTTAAGGTTTTCTCTGTATCATTGTAGCATCCTTACCTTGCAATATAAAGCACCTTGAGATGACTGTTGTTGTGATAAATATATAATATTATTATTATATATGAATACAACTGAACTGAACTGAATTGAAACTATGAGTGCCTAAGAATAGACTTATGGCTCAAGTATCAGTCCAGTCAGGTTATACATAATTTAAGTGCATAGTATGAATACACCATCCAGTCATAGGGTGAGAGGCAGGGTACACCCTGGCCAGGTTAACAATCTTTTGTAGGTCTAACACAGACAGACATAACATGACTGTCTATGCTCACCTTCACGCCCACAGCCAACCTAATCCCATGCATTCATTGGACTGCGGGAGGAAGTGAGAGTACCCGGAGAAAACTGAAGAAATACCCCATAGATGCCAGTTGTGTAGCATAAATGTTTCCCACCTGTCATGAGCACTTCACAGGTTGGGGTTTTGTAGTATGGAATTTTACAATGGGGATGTTGTTTATATGATAAATTAGTAACAGTCTGCCCAGCTTGTTTGACAGTGTAAATGATCATTTCATTATCTGAAAAAATCCTGGCATTTATAGCTGAACCGCCACAGAATGAGCACAGCCAGGTGACTGACAGATTTTACTATAAACTCTGATATAAGGCAAATTTCTGACCAGTCCATGAATTGATTAAATATGGACAAGGATATATTAGCCATATTTAGGATGGTTAAAAGATTAGCTGAAGGAAACTATTACACACCACTGCACAAATTAAAAAAATGGAAAAATTCACAAAGTAACACAGGAGTGTTCTGACAGCTTGTATTAACTAGCTATTGTCCAAAGAGACTGATTTTGCAAAGGTCCAACCCTTAAACCTCAGATCTAGCTAATTTGTTTATTCATCACTTTCAGCCAATCACATGTGGCCATTTTCTATGCAAATTGTCGCCTTTGGCTCCTTGCTGTCTGGCAAACACTGCCTTTTTTTGCATGCTTGATGTCTGAGGTCTGACTGAGATGACAGATGTGTGAATAAATGAAAAATTGCTTGCCCGAATTTGCATAAAAGTGCTTGATTTGCTGACAAAAACGTATTTTGCCATCCAATCGGTTTTCATTTCTACCTATGCAATCATTTCCATTCCCCAGTTTTCTCTCGGTGACATTCCAGCTCCAAACACCTTCAATCATCTCCATCTGACACCCATTCTTTTAAGTTGAGCAGATCCATCACGGCACAGGAGCTTTGTATTGACATTTTGATGGTATATGCCAGCCGGGTCTCATTCATTTGCTGCATTGCAGCCCAACTCCTGACTTTAACTAGCATGTGCCCCTTAATACATTCATGGATGGATTACTGAATGGACTCTTCGAAAGAGACAAAGAACTAATTTCAACAGTGCAAAAACTATCAGCAAAGACACAAAATATTAGATGGGCAGGGAAAGTGCAAACAAAAGAAATGCATTGGAGCTATAAATGATCAAAAAGTTAGAAACACAAGCTTGTTTTTAAAGCCCTAATGCCATGGACAGTATGAGTGTAGGCCAAAACCCATTATAAATAAAAACGTCTGCAACTTTGAGTCTGGGTGTCTTCCTCCTAGTGGGCCTCCTTCTTATTCATGTCTCATAAGTCATCCATGGATACATTACAATGTAAATTGACATTGGGTCATTCTACAGCTCTACCAATTTGTCACTGCATATATGATGAGGTTGGCTGTGAGAGCTGATGATATTGCATAGATGGGGAGTGCTCAAAGATTAATGGGTGACTCTTTGAGGAGGACACATGTACCTGGGGGAACATCCATCAGCCATAAAGCTTCCCTGGAGATGGTCTTGAGATAGAATATGAAGTGCCACTCTCATCTCGGTTACATGACAAAAGGTCACGATGTGTAAGTGTGTGCACATCATGTGAATAATCATGTGGACACATTCCTCAGAGGTGAGAGCAAGCATCTGTGGATGAAATGCCAGAAACAAAAAGAAAGAGCTCTTTGATTATCGTCCACAGCGTTAATGCAGCAAAGAACATCAGTTTTCATCACAGTTTGAGCCACTGGCGCAGCTATCCTTTCATGCCAGGCATACAGCAACTGAAAAGGAGAGGACCAAAATAGATCAGGACCAAACACTGATAACGTCTGAGCTGAGCTCCTTGAGCAAACTTTCTCTTGTATTGTATCAGAAGACAGTGATTTATTGGCTGTGCTGTAGGGGCTTGAATGCAAGTGTTAGGGCCAGTCAAAGTCAATGGGGGAAGGTGACAGAATAAGGACACTGTGTATCCTTGCCTCTCAAGGCCTGTCACAACGTCAAATCAGCCGATGCATGGCAGTGGCCGACTCTGAAACATTAAAAAAAAAAAAAGAAAGAGTGAGAAGAGAAGAGCACTGAGACATCTGCATTAAACAGACATTAGAAAGACTTTTAAAGGCCGCCATCATGATAAACATTTCTATTTTAAGCTAATACTGTCTGGCAAGACGACTGGTTCAAACTGGATTTGAATTTCTCCTGAGTTTCTGATGAAAATGAGCAATTTTAATTTGCTTTAGAAAAACAAATGAAATTGGAGACGTGGGTGATCAGCAGAGATGTTTACGCTGGATTCTTGGGGATAATTTCCTCGCAAAGGCATACCCTCCACTGGTGTCACAGTGACTTTCAGCCTCCTTCAGGCTTATAAAATCAAGAGTGATGCACAGAGAGCATGAGAAAAATCATGTGCTCCCTCACAAGAAACTTTAATTCGAGGTGACCCGCTCCCTTCATGATAAATGACCTACATCCTTGATTTCTGGGAGGGTGGACGGATTCGGAGAGTGTGTGTCCTCCTCCACAGGTGGCAGAGGAATGGGAGGAGAAGAGGAGGATGAAGAGGAGGAGATTAGCCATCTGCTGCAACATGTCACTGCACTCCACTCCTTCCTGTGCTTTCTGCTTTGTGGCACACAGGCGTGGGAGAGAATCTCATCTGTTTGTCTTTCTATGCATTTGCACATTTTTATATTTGTGTGCACACATGCACGCAGTTTCCCTTACAGTGAATGAAAGTCCTTCCTAATGGTTGTTTACATCAGCATTTATGAATGCATATATGAGGACATCCACATGTCAGCCTGTGTCTCTTTGCTCTTTGCTTTTGTCTGTGTTGTAAAGATCACTGATGTATAATCTCTGCAAGGGTGCATCTGTCACTAACTAACGGAGAGCAACATTTTGCTACAATGAATTAATAATTCTCATTGTAATTCCAGAAAAATAAACTGTAAGCATCTATGTTGTAGTAAATGTACAAATGGAATAGAATAAGCCTGTAAACTAATGATGGGAAGTTTAAGTTAATTATGGCCTTATTTAAAGATGCTAATACATTATATACTGTGATGGCTGAGAGTTTAGATGCACTGCAACTGAAGAAAACCAGCTAATTGAAAAATTCTGCATAAGCACACAAAACAATGGAAGTAGACAAGCAAAACAAAAGAAAAGCAGAAAAAGAAGAAGCCAAACACAACTGAAGACAATAATGTGCCGGAGGAGCTGTGGAAGTGACAAGCCAACAATAACGGTAAACATGCAGCTACAGTATTATTATATGAATCATATGATTAAAACACACATTACCTTGCATCTTTTTCTCCCTGACAGCACTGATGAATCCACTACTTCCAAAATATGTGGTCCATAACTGTAAGATGACACTGATATGATGGTTATGTGCATGTTTTACATAAAGTCTATAAATATATGCAGTTACCAGTGGTATGCAATACTGTAAATTTCAGGATTGATACCAAATAAATTCAGGGTCAGTGTTGCCAATACCAATAATTTTAACTTATGAATGCAGCGTATGTAGGGGAGACCAGTGTGTCCTGATTTTAGTGATGAAATATTATCGATTTGGAAATTCTAAATACATTTTAATAGCAACGAAATCACTGTGATTTTCACTTTCCACATAATTACACACGTTTAAGCTATTCATCTGTTTCCAGCTATTCA